AGGGAGCCGAGACCCGGAGGGGTCCCCACTCGGTGCCCTGAGGGAGCCGAGACCCGGAGGGGTCCCCACTCGGTGTGGTGTGCTCTAAGGGAGCTGAGACCTGGTGCTTCCGACGGTCTAGACGGGAAACCACAATGAGGAGATAGGAGGCAAGTGCACAGCTGAATATCGACAGTGTGATGAGTTAGTGCTAACTGCACACATCTTCCCAGTGCTACATGTGCTGTGTGGTTCTAACTCTCACATTTTAGGTGTAGCTGTTTAAGTTTAGTTTCTCACTTTGTTAAGGGATAATCTTTCAAATTCGTGGTAAGATAATGCGGTGATAAAGTACCTGGAAACAGAATAAGAGAACAAAACTTTTCCTGCTTTGTTCTTTCCTCCTTCTGCTGCAGGCATCCGGCCAGTTACATTATTTTGTAGGGAGAATAAGTGTACCCCTAGTTAGCCATAAGGGAATCTTTAAGAAATTTTTGCTTTGAGGCCATACTGTCTGAATTTACAAATATTTAGATGGAATATTATAGAGCATTTTATTCTATAATGTATTGTGCTTTTAAATCTCTTATAGAGAAGGACAGAACATTTTCTGTCTAAAGAGAATAATTACATAAAATCCTAAAAATTAAAACAAAAAAATTTCTTGCCTAAATTACATGTCCCTGCTGATAGCTCATTCTTTAAAACTTCCAAGTTTAAAACAACTGCAGAAAAGAACGAAGGGATTTATTGATTAATTTACTCATTCATTTGTAATTTATTTATTGATATATAATTCACATACCATAATTCACCCTTTTAAAGTGTACAATTCAGTTGTTTTCAGTATATTCACAGAGTTGTACAAACATCACTGCCATCTAATTTCAGGATGATTTTGTCACTCCTAGAAGAAACCCCATGTCCCCATATTTTTTAAAGTGGTCACTCTCCATTGCCCTCTTTTCCTATCCCCTAACAGCTACTAATCTACTTTTTGTCTCTTTGGAGTTTCCTATTCTGGAGATTTCATACAAATGCAGTGGATTTTGTTTCCGGCCTCTTTAGCATAACGTTTTCAAGGTCCATCCATGTTGTACCATGTGTCAGTCCCGTGTTGGTTTTAATGCAGAATAATATTCCATTCTGTGGATAGACCACACTGTTTATCCACCAATCAGTTGATAGACATTTCGGTTGGTTCCACTTTTTTCCATCTGTATTCGTTAATATTGCTAAGACTGGTCATGTGTGAGGGTTTGTGTATAAGGAAATTATTTATTTTCTAAATATTTTTTATAAACTAGCATGTTAGGGATTCAGTCTTACACTGGGATTATTACCCTTAATAGTTTGTAAAAGTTCTTATTAAAAATATATATGTCTCATTTTTCTAGATTTATTGAAAATAATTCACAAAAATTCTATATATTTAAGATATAAAATCTGATATTTATGTGAATGTGTGTATATAAACACACATGCATATATGAAGTTGAACTGATGACCACAGTCAAGCTGATTCTACTCTATCCATCAGTTCACATAGCTACCATTTTACTGGTGTGGTGAGAATACTTCAGGTCTATTCTCAGCAAATTTCAAGTATATAATATGTTACTATTAACTAGAATAATTTCAAGTACTAATAAATTTTTATTAACCATACTCTAATTAGGTCTCCAGAACTTGCTCATCTTATAACTGAAGGTTTATATTTTTCACCAATATTCAGCCCCTCGTAGCCACCATTCTAATGTATGTTAATGTTAAGTTTTATTGTTTTTAAAAAAATTCCACACGTAATAAGATCTATAATATTTGTCCTTTTGCCCCTGGCTTATTTTACTTGGCATAATGCTTTCAGGCTTACCCATATTATTGCAGATGATAGTATTTCATCTTTTTTTAAAGGCCGAGTAATACTCCTCTGTATGTGTACGTGTATGTGAGTATGTGTGTGTACGTGTATGTGAGTGTTTGTGTGTATACTTTCTCTATACCTTCATCTTCTCACAGACACTTATATGATTTTCCTGTCTTGGCTATTGTAAATAATTCTGTAATGAACATTGGAGTACCAGTATCTCTTCAATATACTGATTTCATTTCCTCTGGATTTATGCCTGTAAGGGGAACTGTTAGATCATAGGGCAGTTCTATTTTTGATTTTTAGGAAAACTCCATGCTGTTTTCCATAGTGGCCATACTATTTCACATTTCATCAACAATATATGAAGATTCCCTTTTCTCACATCTTCACCGACATTTGTCATCTTCTGACCTTTTGATAGTAGCGATAATATGTCATTGTAGGTTTGATTTACATTTCATCTTTTCATATACGTTTTGGCCATTTGTATATCTTCTTTGGAAAGATGTTCATTCAGGTCCTTTGATAATTTTTTAATCAAAATATTTGGTTTTTTGCTATTGAGTGTGTGAGTTTCTTATGTACTTTGGAGATTAACCCCATGTCAGATATATGGTTTGCAAGTATTTTTCCCATTCTATAGGTTGCCTTTTCATTTTGTTAACTATTTTCTTTTCTTACAGAAACTTTTTAGTTTGATGTAATCCCATTTGTTTATTTGTGCTTTTATTGCCTATGATTTTGGTGTCAAATCTAGGAGATCTTTAAAGAGATCAATGTCAAATAGCTTTTCTGCTGTTTTCTTCTAGGACTTTTATAGTGTCAGGTTTTACATTTAAGTCTTTAATCCATTTTGAATAGGTTTGTGTGTATAAGAGAAAGGTCTAATTTCTTCTTTCTTCCTTTTTTCCCTCCCTCTCTCTCTGTCCCTCCCTCCCTCCCTTCCTTCCTTCTTTCCTTCCTTCCTTCCTTCCTTTTTTGCCCCCCCTTACACTCTCTTTCTTTCACATGTGATTATCAAGTTTTCCCTATACCATTTTGTTGAAAATGAGTTGATTATCTATGTGTGGGTTTATTCCTGGGCTCTGTATTCTGCCCTGTGGTCTCTGTGCCTAGTTTTGTTTGTTTGTTTGTTTCCCTGTATACTCAGTCTCCTGATCCATGGGATTTGCATCTGTGGATTGAAACAACATCAGATGAAAAATATTAAAGAACAAAAGTCAATAAAAATAACAATATAATAACAACAAAACAAATACAAATACAGTATAACAATTATTTACATAGTATTTATACTTCATTAGGTATTATAAGTAATCTAGAGATGATTTTAAGTATACAGAAGGATGTGCCCAGGTTATATACAAACAGACATCATTTTATATAAGGTACTTATACATCTGTGGATTTGGTAACCCATAACAGGTCCTGGAACCAACCTCCTGTGGTTACTGATGGATTTTGATTACTATAGCTTTGTGATTTAGTTTTAAATTAGGAAGTATGATGCCCCTAGCTTTGTTGTTCTTACTCAAGATTTCTTTAGTAATCACAAAGACCTAGTTGAGGTCTTTTGTGTTCCGATATGAATTTTGGGATTATTTTTTCTATTTCTCTGAAGAATGGCATTGAAGTTTTGATAGAGATTGTATTGAATCTGTCAGCCTAAATAACACACAGAGAAAGAGAAAAAGAGGCTTTCTAAAAATACTGTTTCATCTGGAATGAGGAGAGAATTTGCAAAGCCAGGATATGTACACTGTGAATGAAAACAGGCATAAGGAGGTAAAGGAAGGCAAGGGGTTTTAAAGGTAAAATGAAAGGTTATGCAAGTTGTTTTAATATAATAATCCTGAATACAAGGGTCAGTAAGAAAGCCGGCATGGGTTCAAGGTTGGTCAGATAGTTGCTAGGCAGACAACTTCATAGAAGTATTTTTGTGGAAGGTTGCAGTGATCTTCATGTGAGGCTATGGGTTCTGGCAGATTCTCTTGGGATAGTTCTTGTTATCAAGCAAATATGTGTGAGAACTTCCCTTCATGGCCTTCTTGAGTTATGTTGTGTCAGAGTTTGTCATAAATGACTCTATTCTGATTTTGACGGCTTTTAAAAACCTGTAGATCATTTTTGGTTGTATGAGCATTTTAACAGTATTAGTTCTTCCAAACTGTGAATACAGGATATCTTCACTTATTTTTATTTAAATATATTTATTATTATATAAATAATTATTATACTCGATCCCTAAGTATTTTGTTCTTTTTGATGCTTTTTTTTTTTTTTTTTTG